TTCCAATTTTCATTCAAACTATACAAAAGCCATCGATGTGAACCACTGCCAAAAATTTGCAGCGGTTTTGGTGATGTACAATCGAAATTATCCTAAAATGCGCGCGGCTAAATTTAAGCAAGAACCGCAGCCTATTTATAAACATTTAACGGTACATACAGTCACGCCCACACGCCCAGGCACTCACCCATATACGCGCTCAAATAGGAATGCGGGTGAATATTCGCGGGCTGCATATCCGCTTGTGGTGCACCGCAAACGCTGTGGCCAATCTCCTGTCTCGCTCCCCCCACAACTCCTTCCCATGGCAGTCAATGCTCGACTGACAAGTGTCGGTCGATTGCCTTTTTCGCTTGCTAGCAAAGCGAAAAAAAAACAGTGAGAAAGAAAAAATTACTCAAATTTATCAAATACTTTACTACCGCTCTGCTCTCATTGAATACTCTCATCTTCTCTCCCACTCTCACTCTCCCTATCCCATTCTAGCTTACATCATTTTTAAAGCATTCTTTCAAATTACTCTACAAGCAAAGTTTAATATATATACGCATATACACATATACATATATGCAAATATGCGTGTATGCATTCATATAGGTGCCTCTCCTCACTCTTATTATCCGCATGCTTACACACTTTACTCGCGTCACATAGTTGAACATTCTCTTCATTCCAATCGCGCACACACATATAAATATGTACACACACACATGTATATACGCTTGTTAGTTCAGCAGGCTCACTTCATTTATTAACCGTAGCTTTGCACTCTTTGCTTTTTGTGCGTCGTCCGCATTGCTAGTAAAGGAGGTTTTTGACTTATATGAAGAGAGGCAATTGTTGTAAATAGGGAATTAAATACTACTTAATTAATATAGTATTCAGCTCTGCTTTCATTCAGTATTAAATTTATTTTAATTACTTTAAAATAACTCAATATTCTCTTCACTGCGCAAAGCACACAAACTCGTGCAGCGATCATAAAGTTATGAAGGACGGGCAAAGCAGGGACGAAATGGCGCCATAGCGGCATCCCACTCTCTCACAAGTTCACTCAAAGGCGCAAACCACAATGCTAAGGATGCCACATGTATGCAAATCTTGTGACTGCAAATTAACTTGAGTTTTTAATTTGCTTAACTTTTCAAGTATTTTTATATTACATACGTACATATATTAAGGCTCGTGTGTTTCGAATTTCTTGTTTGCACTATCGAAACTATCGAATCGATCAAAATCAATGAAGAAAATGAAGAACACACTAAACACAGCTCACAAGAAACAAAATTCATTCATCGTGTGGATTGTTACTTTACAAGAAAGCAAATCACAGCCACGGTTGGGCGTGTGCAAATTCACGCGTGTCAAATGAAAGGGCAAAGGTTAACCCAGGACGTGGTTAGGTATACGCGCCGTTGACGCGCGCAGAGCGTCGTCTTAGATGGGCGGCTAATTAGCGTCAAGCCGCTGGAAATTGCTTGCTAATTGGAACATACAAATTTGATTTTGACTCAAGCCTAGACCAATTATCCCAATTATTATGCTACAATAGATATCGCTACAAACCCCATTCCAACTATCGAAAATCTGCGAACCAGATCACTCTCATATATTAAATTATGTACATACCTATAACTATCATAAATTTTGAGGAGTGTCTAACAAACGCAATCTTCTCTCTTTTAAAACACTCTAAGGTATTTATTTAAGTATTTAAAATTTATCTAAGCCGTATAACGGAAATATGCTATGCAATAGCGAAATAAAAAACAATTGCTTTTTTCTATGAAAATTCAATTACTTAATTTTTTGCGCACCCCCTTCCACACATACAAACAAACACACACGTATACGAGCGCCATCTGCTAGCCGCAAAACAAACATGCAGAGCCCCACACACACACACACATATACACAGTCACCCACGCAGCTGCAGTGAGATAAGCGAAGAATATGGACGTGCATAGCGACGCCACCTGTCAGCTCTTCTTAGCGCCAGGCATTTGCCAACAAATTCGCGCACACGGCCACCCGCCCCCAGCGCTAAATTACATACACAGAAATGTTGGCAATGTGTGTGCAAGTGCCTGGCACACACTAAAACACAGTTGGCACAATGAAAGGAGAAAACAGAAAGAAGAGTGCAAAAACTGGAGTCTAAAAGCACATAGATCCCATCTAACGACCGCCTGCACTCCACACACATTGCGGCTCTCTTTGCATGAGCGAGCAACCTTTCTTGCAAGTTCCCAAAAATGTGGCACCTTTTCATGCTGTTTTTGCTCTCAACTGCAATCTGCTGATATCCTGTAAAATTAATTAAGATGTGGTATAGGTGTAGTAAAATTGAGTACATACATTTAACATTTTTTATTTCTATTTTATTTATTAATTAATCAAAAAAGTTTATGAAAAAATTCTGATCGATCGTTTTAGTTCGTTAGCATTAGTTCGTTTCACTGTGCCATCTCTAATGAATATGCTTGCCTTTTTCTTCCATCTCCGTTCTCTGGCTCTCTTTTGTGCACATTGGTTTTTGTTGGCGCGGCTGATGCAAGACAAATGCGAGCGTGAGAACGCCAAAGAAACAGAAGACAGGCATATATCAATAGAGGAAAGAGTGGCGAACGCAGCGCGTGAGCGAGACAGCGATAGCCGACGCGCTTTTTAGCTTTTAGTTAAATAGATTTTTATTTGGACTTGTGCTGTCTGCATGAGTGTGCACATGCGATATTGTGCGAGTGTCAATGTGTGCTTGACTGTGTGTGTGTGTGTGTTAGAGTGTTAGGTGCTTCTATTTGCTGGACTTACTGCTGATTGGCAATGTGTTAGCCGAATGAAACGAAAAGAAAGAGGAACAAAAATAATAGCAGACGTCTTCGACAATCGTTGAAATTGAAAAACTTAGCAAAGCAGCGTCCAGATTAAATAACTTAGCTAATTGTATTGGCTAGCCCATTTTCGGGCTTTACATTTACGGTTCAGCTAACGAGTAAACGCTACTCAATTGGCTTTCCATAGACAAAATGCATTAGAGACTCTCAATCAAGGACAAGTAAAATAATAAATTTAAAAATAATGTAGTATATATGATTTCTTATATTTATTCAATTTTTAAAAATTATT